TCTGATAAGGTTTCGATGTATTAATGTTATAAATTAAATAATATTGATGATTTTACACGTTTTTAGGTGTTAATTACACAATTATACGTATTTTGGATTTTTACCGCACGATTTTGCACATTTCAAGTTTTTTACTGCATATTTTCCGAATTTTTACTGCACGAAAATTCGGTCTCTACTCATCACTATTGTGAGCACCAATGATTAGGTTATCTACATAAATCTGGTCATGATACAGGAGAGCTTTTTTTTTTTTTTTTTTTTTTTTTTTTTTTTATTTTATTTATTTATTTATTTATTTATTTATTTATTTATTTATTTATTTATTTATTTATTTATTTATTTATCTATTGAGTATTACAACAATCTGTCACATGGACCCTGCCGTTTCAACCTTCTTGGAGGATTATAGGAATGGGTGGTGCTTGATAGGGATTGTGCTATAGGATTTGGATGATACATAAGGTTCTGGTGAAATTTAGAGATTTTTTCTAGGATAAGATCTAGGACAAATGAGATGTTGAGGTTATGATGTAGGGTTTTGTTGGTTACATAGAAAGGATCAAGGACTATTTGTGACGAAAAATACAATTAAAAAAACAAAGCAAATTAGTCGGTAAAATAATTGATAGTTTTATCTCGAAGAGGGTTAGGTAAAATAAATTAATTAGTATTAGTTTTAATAACAAGTATTAGTTTATAATAAGTCTTAGTTTTAAGTATTACTTTTAAGTCAGTATAACAGCCAATATATGAAGGAGCTTCTAAGCGATGTCCTATGATGATGGCCGATATTGAAAAACATGATAAAGACCTCTTTGAGAGCGAAAATCTCCGCAGGCGTGCGAATTACGAACAGTGCGCCCCGATGCCAAATTTGGTGTCCATTGATCTAGAAGCCGTCAAGAAAGCCAATTAATCAACATCAATGGAAACATCGCCGGGGCCTGACGGAGTTATGATTCGCACGATTAAATATTTTGATGTAGCAAATATTATCAAAACAATGGCGGAGATAATGCTGAAGGTGGCCTATGTCCCAGAACCACTTCGACAAGGGCGCACAATATTAATATATAAGGGGAAAGGTGATGTAAACAAAATCTCTTCCTGGAGACCCATCACCATTTATTCTATTGTGCGCCGAATCATAGAGAAGGTTCTGGACCACGAACTAAGAAAGCAGGTCACCTTCCAGAGGAATCAGAGAGGCTTTATAAAAGGCCTCCCGGGAACGCACGTCAACGCAAGGATTATCGACGCTATATTAAATGATGCAAAAATTGTGAAAAATGATTGAGCGGTAGTCTTCCTTGACGTTATCGGTGCTTTTGACAATGTTGGCTAAAAACACATCGTGAGCTCCTTAGAAGCAAGAGGTGTGTCGCCGGATCTTAAACGTGTTATATCGGCTCTCCTCTGCACGAACACAATCAAGATTAGTAACGGTGTTCACGCAACTAGCCAAATCAAAGTGCTGCGCGGAGTGTCCCAAGGCGGCAATATCATCGTCTCTCTTCAACCTGGCCATCGACCATCTCTATCGCGACCTGTGCGATGAAGAATTTTCAAAAAAATTTGGACACAAGTTAAAAAGCGACCAAGGTTGTGTGGTCCTCACATGTTTCGCGGATGACCAGGCAGTATCGGCGCGTGACAGGGGGGCTGCAGAAAGAGTCATCGGCAGCGTTTAGAGGACATTTGAGGAAATCGGTTTGGCTATAAATCCTCAAAAAAGCGTGGGCATCGTTCTAAATAAAGGAGAGCTGGAAACAGCGATGCTCTCCCTTGAGAACGGAGAGTACATCTAAACATTGCAGAATGGAGATACAATCAAGTATTTAGGATGTACACTCTCGCGAGAGCAACAGTTCAACGAAGATTCGGTGACCAAATTGAACGACAATCTCAATAAACCAGTAACCTCTCCCTTGCTTAAGCCGGAGCAGAAGCTAAACATTGTCAATCAATATCTGTTCCCGGGTCTTACCCTCTCCAAACTGCGCCCCTAACAAAGCTACGTCCCGCCATACTTGACGGCATCGAGACCATGATTCGCAGGTGTGTGAATGCTATTGTTGGACTCCCTGCGAACACTTCCACGGCGATGTTGTACGCTCCCAGGAGGTATCCAGGATTAGGATTAGTCCGCTGGCAATGGGAGGCTCCTCTACAACATTGGTCCATTGCTCAGCGACTGTCCAATGTGCCCGATGCCCTATTCCAATCGATTTTCGATTATTCGGCTGAGGTTGCTGAATGTGCCGAGAGATTGGGGTATTAGAAATATAAGAGCTCTACGGCAGTCGCTTCGAGAAAATTCGTTCGAGGAATGGACCAATTGCAGGTGGCAGGGCATTGGAGTTCGCCATTTTAAGGAGACCCCGAAAGCCAATAAATTCATGTACGATAAGGAAGTACTTTCTGGGTCTGAATGGTCAAATGCCCTGAAACTAAATATTAATTATGCAACCCTGCGTGGAGTCCCAGGTGTCAGCGAACAGGTAAAAGAAGTTGGGTCCCTCTGTCGCAAATGCGACAGAGAGCCAGAAACACCAGCACATGTGCTTGGAAAATGTCCCAACAACTCCCTCCTTATAACACGCCGTCACCACAGAGTCAAACATGAACTGATGAGGCTCCTTGAAGAGAGAGATTACTCCTGTTTCGAGGAAGTTTATTGTATAGATACGGATGGATCAACCCGATATGCCGACATTGTAGAATTCCCTAAGACGGACGGGAAAGTCGGCGATGATTTTGGAGCCTACCGTGAGGTATGAGACCAATGACCTGATCAGGCAGGCAAAGTGGAAAGAGAGAGAAAAAAGGCCTACGAGAAATGCATTCCTTTCCTTAGTGAAAAGTTCTGCAAGAGTTCCACGTGAGAAGTCTTCGGTTCGGAGCTCGCGGAACGATAGCGAACTCAACAAGGAGCTTCATGGAGGGCCTTGGTGTCGACATAAAGGACGTGGCAAGGTTGGCAGAGAATATAATCCTTGACTCCCTGGGAATTATCCATCACCATGTGCATGGATAGAAAGAGAGTTTGTTCATGGGGGGAGGCATGCGATTTGTGTTTACAGCATTAAGGGTGTTTTACAGCATTTTTACATTATTTATTGACCACGCCCACTGCACTTTATGTATTTGTATGCATGTTATGAATTAGGTTAGGAAAAGAGAGGAGAAAATCTAGGGAATGAGAAAAATGTATAAGGTGAGAGAAGGAACTGAAAGGGATGTATAATGATAATAAATGAATGAAAGAAATAATGAAAAAAAAATAATAATAAAAAAATAAAATATAGGAAAAAAAAATTATAAAAAAATATATATATAGATAAAAAAAAAAAATTGTATACTATGCTCATACATATTGTTAATACTACATAATTGTATATTAGTTTTGGAAAATAGTCTGTAGCTATTAATAAGTATGCTGTGTTTAAAGCAACCCAATGTAATTGGGCAGCACCCTTTTATGATAATAAAGTGATTCTCTCTCTCTTCAGTTTGTTTTCACATTTTAAGTATATATTATATTTATTTTTTTTGGTTTAATAAAGAATTGTAAAGCCCTATTCGAGGGATTAGGGAAAATGAATATTAACCAAATAAGAAGGTTGGATAGGGTTTATTAGGTTAATTAACATATGTTTTTAAACCCATAGGTTCCGAGTTCATAGCTCACTCGGCGGCATCCAAATCTTTTTTTTTAAAATTAAATTTATTTTATTTTATTTTTTTTATGGTTTTCGCTATTTTCCAAATTCAACCAATTAAATAGCGTGGTGGCTGTTAGATAGTTATTAATATTTAATTGACTGTTGATTTTTTTTTTTTTTTTTTGCGAGCCCTACTGTCTCCACTGAGCATCGGCAAGTTTGTTGCGGAAACATTTTTTCCAAATTAAAGACCATAACATATTGTTCAAAGGACTTTTGACTGGAAGGATTGGATGCGCTTGATGTTAGAAAATTTTGTTGTTCCCCACAGTTCTAGTCCGTAAGTCCAAATAGGTTTCAGTATTGTCTTTTAGATTGGAAAGTTTAGATTTTCTGTTTAGTAGTCGGTATAGTTGGCTGTATCCTCGGTTTAGTTCCTGTCTTTTAAGTCTATTATGAGGGTTCCAGGTTAGTCGTCAATCATGCGCCATTTTTTTCATCAGTGCTCAATCAGGGAGAGCTGTCTTAGTGCTATTTCGGGATCTGAGTTGGATCATAGGATGGCGATGTCGTCAAAAAATGTTGCCAGAAAGGTATCAGGATGGACAGGGATATCAGCGGTAAAAATGATATAAAGGACAGGGCTCAAGAGGCTACCTTAAGGAACACCGGCTTCAACTGGGTAGGAATTTAATCTTATTTTGAAGAATAAGAAGCAAAATCTCCCTTCAATGCGTATGAAAAGAGATAATTGTATTATGATTGATCAGTATGGATTTTATTTAATTTTTTACATGTAAAAAGCATTTATTTAATTACAACCCTGCTAAATCTAATAAACAATAGAGATGTTTGAGCAGTAAGATGGTTCAGATGCCGGTATAGTGTCCTGCTGCTACATCAAAATTTTAAATTTAAACCCAAAACTTGGGGAACAAGAAAGTAATTTATTAAGATATCACATTTAAGAATGTTTAACTACTATTTTTTTCATCCTTCTACTTCCATACATTCTAGGATACTTCTAATGTATCCTCTTTCATTTTTGGAATCATCTCCTATTCTTATGAGTAAAGAGAGTTAAGAGTACCAATGTTAAAAACTGACTTTTTGAAATATTATAAAGAAAGAAAATATAATAAATTTTCTTATAGGTAAAAAATGTTTTAATATTTGTTTAGATATCCACTTTACTTTGTACAGACAAATATCAATTTATTTGAAAGAAGTTATAGAACTTCTTTCAAATAAATTGATATTGCTAGCAACCATATTGAAAATACAAACAAAAGATAAGGATTAAGTGAAAATAGGAACAATACCTAGCAAACATAGTGAAAGGTAGGCAATTTTAAACAGTGTGTATTAAGAAAGTCTTTATGATAATTATTTTATAGGCGAATTCAAACAAACTTGGTTAAAAGGCATTTACTAATAATGATTGAGAAGCAGTTGATAAAATAAATTAAAGAAATTATGGGCAACAGAAAAATAAATTAAGTTTCTGAAAGAAGTCTATGATAATGCGGGAGCACATGACTAGTTGGTACATGCAGTCCGAATTCCAAGGCAACAAGTACAACAAACTCTGACTGTATTAATTCTCTTCGATTCACTCTGAGGATGCCTTCGGTTTTCTGTAACATTATTTGAAAAACTCAATATTAGACTTTTATAGTACAAGTAGAATATATCATTAGTTTAGTAGGAGGGAACCCCCTGTCCTCCCAATGGCAGACCAACCACCATTTTACAAATTATACAACCGTTCATTTAATTGTATTACTCCTTGCTCAAATTATATAACTGTAATGCACATGTATTCTGTAGTTCAGATTGTATTATTTTTTATCAACATAAAATAAAGGGTACAAAACCACAATTTAGACAATTTTTAAAAAAAATCTATATTATACGCCTTGTTGCCAATTTTCAATCGTAATAAGGGAGAAATAATTCTGAGAATATAAGGGTAGTGTCTTCATAACGGTCCATCCCGCTTTGTATATGTAAAATAAAATACTACATGGTCATCACTAAAAACATTTTTAAATAATAGAGATAAATTTTGAGTGTGCACTGCACCGCCGTTGCCCAGCAACCTGACATATGAATTTAATGATATAAAAATAGTCACGAGTTCGCGTCCTGGTGCCGGAGGAGTCTTTTAACTCCCAGCTCACACTCCCTGGCCCGGGAAAATCCCGTATAGTCTTAACGGCGAGGAAGGGAAGGACCTCCCCCCCCCCAAAAAAAGAGATAAATTTAGTGTTTTATTTTTCATGATTTTTTTCCAATGTTCATTATATTTCAAATTACAATAAAAAGAGGAAATTTAAGGAAAAGACAGTATGCATTACGATCAAATATATGTTATTCGTTTAGAATAAGAAAAAATGTTTAAATTTTAACCAGGCCACAAAGGTATGTATGTCTAAATAAATATATATATGGGGACAGAGTAGCGGTGCGGGCTCATGCAATAGGTAACCAAGTTAAGCAACGCCGAACGTGGTTAGCACTTGGATGGGTGACCGCCCACCAAGAAAAGCCATGCTGCCCGAGATCCCCCCCCCCCCGGTTTGTGAGGACTGTCAGCCTACTGGAGGCAACTCACATCTACCGGGCGTAGGACTGATGATCCTACCCCTGTGTACTTAAATCAGGAATCGGCATGTGGTCTAGAAGACCCCATGTCGCGCTCAAAGATCTACAAGCTCTGTAGCACCAACCGAAAAAAAAAAATATATATATATATTCACATATATTTGTAACCTTAAAAAACCTTCAGCTCATGTGCTGATGTTAATTTATCTCCTAAGGGTTTTCATATCTTTTTATTAAAATAAAAAAAAGAAGCTAATATGAGTATTGACCAGGTATCTCCATCCCAAAACACTGTGAAAGTATGAGAAATTGATGTCCCTGGGGACTAAAATTGAGCAGATTATGGGTATTTACAAGGAGAACAGAGAGCAGCCAGGGAGGCTATAATGATGATGACCTTTTTATCATTAGAGTCCGGAGTAAGGTTAGACAGTCCTACATCAAAATTCTTTATATTTTACTGTTGCTATTTTTATTTATTACTAAATACACACACCCACATACATACAATCAACTTAATTCTATTAATTTCCAAATTTTCGTTACTTAAATGATTAAATATTAATTAATTCTACCACTAGATTAATCAATATCGTGCAGAATCATGTGGAGACTGCAACTATGTTACAAAGTTCACATGCGGCTTCTGAGGCAGTGGTTCCCCACCTATTGTCTAGACCAGGGGTCTCCAAATTACGGTCCCGCTCGCAAGTGCTTCCAATCCGGTCCGCGAAGATTTCTTTGATTACATAGTAAAATTTAAAAAAAAATATGAAATTTAGAAAATTACTTGTACAAGAGATTACAACAACATTTATTGCATGCTACCCCTCCCCCCCCCCTTAGAAGCTCATTTCACAACTGAAGTGTCATTTACAGAACATGATTTTTTTTTTCAACACATACCATGGCCTGTGAGACTTAGATGGAGGTCTTATTATTACTAATTTAATAAACATATCATAACTATGTATTACTTCAATTAGATGTTTAAGGAGGTCTCCTTTAATATCGTTAAGCTTAGCAGCCAATATCAAACAGGCACCAGCACACAGTTTTCTATTTTGTTTATTTATAAGATTGAGATGAATCAAGCGTTCAAAGTAAACATAGGCATATGCAGTTGTGAGAAGATCAGGAGTTGCAATTTTCCTCATTTCCCTTTTTAAACTTCTAAGTTTGCTAAGTGTTAATTCTATTGTAGGAAATCTCTCTTTGAACTTATCGTTCAATTCTTTCTTTAAGTCTGCTGCTCGAACATAATGAATCACTGATGTCTGAAATAAACAAAATATTAATAAAATAAGCAAATAATAATTCACTAATATTATGGTTAAAACAAATAAATTTTGATAAATAAATAAAGATGACATATTTTCAGATATCCAGCAATAAACAGAAAACAAAAAATTATTTCTAAATTATTAATCAAGATTAAGTTAGTTATTTAATATTTCATAAATTTTAATTAGTTATTCATATTTCTTTTTTTCACGTTCTTACTGACTCGCCATTAAGGTAGGAGCAGTAGAAGGAGGCAAAATCATTCAATATTTTATGTAAAAAAATTTACTCTTGTTATTAGAATGTATTAGCAGGTTTTGTTTTTATAATTCCTTACTTTTAATCAAGGGAAAACATGTCAAATATTGAGGGGCTCACATTATAATTTTGATCCTGGCATGGGCTCAGCTGACGGCAGTCTTTTGTTCTTATAATTAAAATCTATTTAGGGGACTCTTGTCTTAACGTAGTGAAAAGAGACACTCTGGTGAAAAGAGACAACACGTATCACAGCAAAGGCAGAAATAGATCAATTATTGTATGATAGGTAGACTATCTATTTAATTGTTAATAAAAACTCTTATCCTTCAAAACGATCTCATAATTTCTTTATTTTATAATTATAGAAGTTTTTTGGTGCAACGCAAATATTTATTTGATATTTTGTAATAAAAAAAATATCACATACACATTTAATACATTAACAATTCATTATCATTTTAATTGGATTAATAAATGTCGCAAGGAGTCTGAGCAATCAACATAACATGTCATTTTGTTCATTTATTAGATATTGTCTGAATTTAATATCATTGTTAATATTTTTTTTTTTTCATTTCACAAATTAGTAAAAAATACTATATTCCATTAAAAATAAATTAATCGTTAAAATTAAAAATTACAGAACCGGAAATCATTTATAAAATAAATTAACCTATAGAATAATTTAGAACTAAAAATAAAGAAGACGAAAATATATAACATATTAATTAATTTTTTTTTTTTTATTTCTTTATGACATTTACAACTGTATTACATAAATACATCAAGTAAAATTAATTAATTTTAAATTTAAGGACGACCACTTCTCTTAACTGACCCCTTCGGACTATATACTCTTCCTTCTCAAAAGAACTCTATAAACGGAGCCTTTGTTTCTTCTCCAAAATATTTGCAATTTTTTCCCTTAGCACTGCCATTTCTGTGGAATATTAACATTGATCCAGCTCTTTTTGAACTTAAAGATTAGGCCAAGTTTATCTTTATGAAACGCTAAGCATATTGGCGGTAATATGTTATCTACTGCAGCTGTAGTTATTGCCTAAAATTACATGCAGTATTCTATTATAGAATATTTACATTTTTCTACATGAGACTGACTATTTATTTTTAATTATAATTCATTTCACACACCAGAATCCTTGATATATAACACTGACTACATAAATATTTAAGAGACTATGATTCCTACTTGAACGAATGATGTCACCATATTGTATAAAAGTTTTTTTGTTTAGTCTATGTTTTTGCTTAAGCCAAGAATAAAAAATAAAAAAAAAAAAAAAAAACGAAGGAATAAGTATGTATGTATAGAAAAGAGTGTCTGAGATACCTATAAATCCACATTATAATTGGTGAGCATGTGCGTGTGTGTTTTGTCGATTTATAAAATTTATGAAGATGTGTAAAATAAAAATTGGTATGTGTAAAATTTAGTATGCCCCTAATTTTTTCAACCTTAAATGAAATTTTATTGGCATATAATGATAAGGTTGGTAGACATCTATACAGCCATATTGTAGATCATTATTTCACATCTTCGCACCTTTGGAAAAAAACTTCTTTCAATCAAATATATCTGGTATTGAGCCACTTGTACATAGCGTGAGATGTATTATTATATCTGATATTTTTTGTAAATTGAAATTTTTAGTAACACTGGATTTGCTACGACTAATTTTATAGGTTGTTGATATAATCTGTAGGAAAGTTATTTCCTCAAAGATTAATATTAGTATTAACCCTTTAGATGCGCAAAGCCAATGTAATGGCTCCTGAAAGACCATGTCCCTGCTGTGCAGAGCCAATATATTGGCTTCAGCTTTTAATCATTTAGTTGCAAAACCAATACTCTGACTTGTTACAGAGCTCTCTACTGGAAACTCCATGAGTCATAGGTTGTTGCTGGATCCACTAGATAGGTGTGAGATGTATTATTTAGTCGCAGGTATCCTTTAGAATGAGGGCTCTGACCTCAGCTTTTCGTATACCTGCTATTTCACCTTCCTCTACTTTTTTGAACACAGTTTTGCTCTAAAACTAACAGCAGTTGGTTTTGTTTTGAAGGCAAAAGTTGAAATTGAGTTTAAAAATTTATTTTTAAAATACCACACACATGGGGTTGATTAAACCTTCAGTATCCCGCCCACACGGGACCTGACCTTGATTTAGGCCTTGTGCAACTAAAAGGTTAAGACATGGTAAGTGACTGTTGGTTGAAATTAAAGCATCGTAACGAATAAACATTTTAACACTAAAAATGTTTCATTTCATTAGTTACCATGTTTTATGACCAAGTGTTTCATTTATAAAATGTTTCATTTTAAAGACATAAAATATATATATATTGGAATAATACCATTAGCTATTTTAAGATATTGAATTTTACAGTATATATATATATACATATATATATATTGGAATAAAACCATTAGCTATTTTCAGATATTGAATTTTACAGTAAAGATATGTTGAGGGAAGTTAGTCGACTGTTCCACATATCATGGGTGATAAATATTTAGGATGCAGTCATTATAAAGTTTTTATTGGTTACGACATTTTAAACCAAATATATGTGGATCATCAATCAGAGCGTGTTTCGATCACTAAAGGTATTCAAGTGTTACTGAATTCACTTGTATACTTTCAGTGCTCGAAACACGCCCTGATGATGACCACATCTTTGGGTTGAAACGTCGGCACCAATAAAAACTTTATAATGACTGCATCTTGAATAGTTAAAACCCATAAAGATATGTTGTAATAAACTAGAACTATATGAATAGAATAAATAGAATATTGACATACTATATATGACTTAAAAGGTAAAAGTGTCCTATGCTTCCCAGCAATAAGTTCTGGATCATCTAGCAAATTGGGATCATAATCAGAAGTATCTCCACCTACAAAAGTCAAATTTGTAACAGGTAACTAAATTCTATAAAATGTATACATACAATAAGGGTTACCCTTTTCAGAAGAAATTGGTGGTGAACTAGGATAAGTCCGATAGGTTCCTGAATCATGAGAATAACACCTAAAATAAAAAAACTTAATGAACAAGTTATATTTCAAAATATATAATAAACAAATTTTTTTTTAATATCACATGAAAAAAATTATATTGGTTTTGAATTCTGTAATGTCTCAATTTATTGTAAAAATTTATTCATCACTACATTTTTGCTTATTGATATTTTCAATATTTTTTCAAAATAACATTATTGTCCTGCATTTATAACAAATGCATAAATATCTGCTGTGTTCACTGACTCGTTTCCTAACACATTTTTTCATTTTACATTATACTTGCACTGCAGTGCAACACATCAAGGAAATGTGTTTTTCATTCTATCTTCTTTCTTTTTTTTTTTTTTATTTATGTTTTGAGCATATCTCTAGGTCACTCCCTTTTTAGTCTTCGTCGAGGCTCATCAGGTAACAGGGAGGAATAAAGGATATGGAGAGAGATGGATTTGGATGATTAATAGTTGAAGAGTGGAATGTTGTTTATTTGTTATGTATATAGGATTTTACAGTTGGTATGTACATGTCATTGTGTATGGTGTGATTTATTTGAAATAAATCAAGTTTCATTTACGATTTTTTGAAGTATTTTGGACTGTGCGGTGTGAATTATTTTTATGTGGACGTGTTTTGTGGTATCTTAAAGTTTTACTCCATATGTCCAGATAGGTCTTAGTATAGTGGTGTAGATTAGTAGCTTTAGTAAATAGGGTGGATAACTGTAGTCGAAGAGATGTGACAGGTTTTGTATCGTCTGGTTAGTTCTTGTTTTTTTTTTAATTTGGTATGTTTTGGTGTTAGGGATGTCATACATGATTTTTTGAGGGAACTGGATTGTTATCTATTGTGACAGCAAGACACAAAACCTTCCGCAGGGAGAAGCTAACGTGACTTGGTTTGCTGCCATTTATTTTAATTTTCCATTTGTGGAAAAAATTTTCAAGATTGTGGAGGTGGTTTTGAAGGGCAACTGATGTAATAGTTGGATTTTGTGGAAAGAAAGAATTGCAGTGTCATCAGCGAAGCTAAAGATGGTGGTGGTAGGATGGTTAGAGATATCAGATGTGTAGAGAGAAAGAGCTGTACTCCTACTATAGCTGTATGCCAAATATATGATTTTTTCTAAAACGGATGGGTATCGAAAGTAAGATTACATGTAGAAAATATTGTATTTTGTCAATATTCGATCCGAAAATAAGAATAAAGCATGTATTGTACATAATATACCATGAAATATACTTTTTGAGGATAAAAAAAGATAATATTCATTTTTGCACCTTTAAAAACCCTTAAATAAGAGTTTTGTTACATTCAGAAAATGTAAATTTTTGCTCAATACTCTGCCTTCTCTTAATAGCTCATATAAGATCAATCTATGTTTATAGCTTTGTAGTATATATTGGTAGAAATAATAACTACTTGTAGAGCAAAATATTTTTTTTTTTCGATTGAAATTGAAATTTCATTAGATCTTAAATACATTTTACAGTTTTAATATCTACTGTAAAGTTGTAAACATAGATGGATCTCATAAGAGCTATAATAGAAGGCAGAATATTGATAATTTTTTTTCATTTTTCGATTTCAACAAATATTGTTATTTAATTTAAAGGTTTTTAGAGGTGTGGAAAACTTCCCCCTACCCACATAAAAAAAAAAAAAAAACAGACCATTTTGTGGGATTTGGTTATTTGAACTCAGGGGAACTCAAAACATGTATTTTTGTTGAAAACACAGATTCAAAAATTTTCAAGATGGCAATACGATAATTAGGCGTTGATGACCTCAGGGTTTTATACCTCTAAGCCCTAAACAACAACAACTTTTCGGTAATATATATTACATATATAGGTAAGTGAAAATAACAATGACTGAATAGTTTAGGGCAATCTATAACCTGTTATATACAGCTTAGAATGAGTAGGAAGGATAATGGAGCGAGGAAAAGCTCAAACAAAAGCATTGAAATTTTCAGAAAACTGATGAGGTGCACAAATAACACTAAACATCTATTCAGCTCCAGATACACATTTATTCAGCTCCTACTTCTATTATTAATTTCA